GCCCGGCGCCGCGGGCCAGTGGGCGAGCCCACGCTGCAGCGAGGCGGGGGTGGGCGGGGGAGATGCGGGCTGGAGCCGCACCAGAGCCGCTGCTAGGCGCAGCGCAGCAGCAGCGAAGATGGAAGGAGCCTCCTTCGGAGCCGGCCGGGCAGGGGCGGCCATCGACCCCCTGGATTTCCTCAAGCAGCCGCAGACCCTGCTGCGGATCGGGTCCTGGGTAAGGCAGAGCCTCTGCCCGGGTGCCTGGCATGCATCTCTTTCCCCTAGGGGGTTTGGGAGCCTGGCATGGCGTGGAGGCAGAGGGGCATCTCCCTCCTCCCCCCCGCCACCTGCTGTCGTTGCTGTCCTGGCACTGGGGATGCTTGCCCTCCTTCCCTGCAGAGGGGCAAGACCCCCCAGCTCCCCGCTGGCTGCCGTGCCGGGGTATTTTGCAGGGCTTCATTTGGATGGGTGGAGGCGGGGGGGGAATCGGTGGTACAAGGCATTTTTTTCCCCCTTGTCTGCTTGGCCGGGGGCATGCGTGCGCGCAAAGCAGTGTGTGATCCGGCCCTGCCTGTCCCCCCCCAGCACCCGGGGAACGGCAGATGATATCATAGTTTGCTCCTGCTCTGAGATGCCTATTGCCCGGCCGACTGATGATGCTGCCCGGATGGCTCGGATCCCCCCGCGTTCCACGGGTGCTGGCGTGCAAAGCCGTGCAAAGAGCCTGGCTCACACAGATGATGCCGGGAGCTGCAGGGGTGTTAGGCCCACGCTCCGCCCTACCTCGCCTCATTGTGCCCAGGGCGGCACGGGCAGCAGTCTGGGGACACGGGAGACTCCAGGCCTCTCCTCAGAGACATCCCCCAAGACCCTTGATTGCAAAAGCTCTGGGAAGGGCCCCCGTTTGCAGCCTCAGGAGGGAGGCCAGGGAGGTAGATGCTGTTCCTCTTCCTTGTTAGCGGAGGGGAAGAGCTTGCTTGGTCCTGGGGGAAGGGGTGGGAACGCTTGCCCCCCTGCTGTATGGGTGCTCAGGGTCAAGGCTGTGCCTGCAGCGAACCAGTTGTAATAAAGGAAAGAGGCAGATTGCAATCTGAGCGGTTGCAATAAAGGAAAGGGGCAGACCATATTCTTCTTTTGGAGCCATACAAGACAGGGGCAGGCCACTGTGCCCCTCTTCTAGGCTCCATCCAGCAAGTAGCAAGGAATGTGCTTCCCTTTAAGCAGGTGAGTAACCCCACATGCTTGTGGGTAAGCACATGCTTAAGTGTCCAGCTGCACTGGAGCCATAATCCATTCCCCAGGGCTTTGAAAAAGCCCCCACATGCATTACCGGGCTAAAATGGAGGCTGGCTGCTGAGGCGAAGCATCAAGGCGTGAAGTAGATCCACCGTGTTGCATGCGATTGACACAGTAACATGGCAGTGAACTCATCATAGATGCTCCCAATGTGTCACCTGGATCCAGAGCGGAGGACTGGGTTCCTGGGGGAGTGGGAGCGAAACGCAGAATACAGAAGTCACAAGCAGTTTGGAAAAGGCTCCTGTCCATCTTCTGTGGCAGATTTATCCCGCCGCACCAGCTGGGCGATCTGAAAGCACCAAGAACCCGTCCCAAAGGCTCGGCAGGCAGAATCTGATGGCCTGGATGAGCTCTCAGCCTGTAAATTGTCCCTTTTTCTTGCAGTGCTGAAAGGGAAACAGCTGGTAGCATCCAAACTAATTTCCATTGACTTTGGTGGGTTTGGGCTCAGACCCCAAATGCCTGCATGAGGCCGCAGTAAAAGGGCTCTGGGCATGACGCCGGCCCTGCAGCAGCTGGAGCCCCTTGAGGGTCCAGTCCGCAGGCTCAGGGCCACGGCTGGGACAGGTTTGAGTCTTGTTCACCGGGAGGCACCACCCTCCACTTCAAGCAAATGAACCCAAACTGTGGGGTTTCAAACCTGCGGTGGAAGCCGGTGCAGCAGAGACGCTCTTGCCCCGCGTAAACAGGGACTTACTCCCTGATGGGCACGTGTCTCCTGAGGTATCCGCTTCATGCGTTGGTTGGGCCCGTTCTTCAGACCTGTCATCTTGGATCTGGGCAACCATCAGGTGCCAAATGCTTATTGCCTCCTGCAGCCTCATCAGCGCAAAGCATACCTGCGTTTTCTTAAATAGCGCTTAGTGCACCTTGGCAGGCCGGGAGTCCTGAGCATCTTAATCATGGGTGTGTGGCTGAAGGGGAAAGTGAGTAAGATAAACAGCTGGTTTTGCCTGCTAGATCCTGTCAAAGTCCTTTTTTCTCCCTGCTGCCGTACCCCAGATTGCTGGGGCTGGGGCTGTAAAATGCGGCCTCACTGCCATGGGCTATGACGGTGTTTATTCACTGCCTGTGTGATGGTAGCAGCTAGAAACCCCCGCTATGGACCAGGATGTGTGCGGTAGGCTCCGTACAGACCCGTAACCAAAAAAAAGATGGTCCCTGCTCCAAAAATCAGGCAACCCGAGTGAGAAGAGTGGTGCATGCACAGCATGCATATGTTATTAGGACAGCATCGCAGCTAAGATGCCCGAGGAAGACAGGGGTGAGTTTGTTCTTTGTTTGCAATGATCTGTCTCTTTTGCTAAAACATGTTTGTGGACAGTCTGAAACAGAAAATGAATGTAATTGGACCACATCCTAGTGACTCAGTCCCTCCCCACCGCCTAGCACCAGTCTCCCCCAGTGTGAAATGGAGGAAATGCTGAAGCTTTGGCTATCAGAAGTGACAGGAGGTGTTGGGTATTTGGGGAACGTGCATGTGGAAGGGAGAGAACGGTTTTATGCGGACCCAGTTCGGGTTGCTTTGCTGGGAGAAGCAGTTTCCCAGAAGTCAGGAGAGGCTTTCTTACATGTAGGCCTGTCCAAGATCTGGATAAGGCCCAGTTCAAGCCTGGATTCCCCACCATTGACGCCAGCGGGGGTTTCCTTGTCAGGCCCAGCGTGCGTGTGTGCAAGCAGTGCACATGTCAGCGAGGTGACTGGCTTGATCCCTCGGTCTGACATTGGTGGGCCTTCCCGGGGAACTGCAACTCCCCCAGGTGATCCCAGATAGTGTGAAAGCATTGCCTTTAAATGCAAAAGATTGCTGTTAAATTTCTTCAGAAAAAAGCTTGCAGCATGTGCCAGACTTTTTGAAAAATCACAAAACTGGAAAGCCCCACTGGCCGCCCAGTTCCTCGTTCACCCCTTCCCTTGTGGCTGGTCTAGTTTGTGATATGAAGATGTGTAACTTGTGTGGTTTCCCCTTTAAACAGCCTTTTAAATAGTAAAACTGTCCTAGCGTATAATGGGGATTTATGCAGAATCATCAGTTCCTTTTTTTTAATACCTGTTATTTTAGCCTGACTGTATTTTTTTTTAGCTGCTGTTCAATATTTAAAGGGACACCGTTGATTTAACTTAGGCATACAGTCAGATTTAATTTTGCAAAGCAGTTTTGGAAAACTAAAAATCAATGGAAAGATTTTCAGGAAATCTTTGGGATTCCAGAAAAACCAATTGATTGGTTTGTTCCTGGGGCAGATGCTTTCTCTGCTGTACCCAAATGCAGCAATGTAGAGCTAGCACAGGTATGAACCAGAAAGCAAAAATGGCGACAAACAGAAAGCAAACCTGCCTTGCATTGTGGGCCAAGCTGTGTGGCAGGCAAAGCCCCAAATGACAGCCATGGAAATGTTCAAGGCACAAAGTCTTTAGTTTTAAAGCCCTTTCAGTGTTCATTGCCTGAGATCTGCTCCTGCAGCCTGCCCTGGCACCTCAGCCCCTTGGGCTAGGCCAGCAGTTGCCAACCTCGTTAGACTCAGGGCTCCCCATGGAAAACGCCGCTCTTAGTTTTCACTCCTTTTTTGGCTACAGAAAAATCCTAGAGCAGTTCTTCTGTTGCAGAAAGCCCGCAGCAGGGCAGAGTGGTTTTCAGCATGCTGGTTCCTGTTGGGAATCTCTGGGTTTAGCTTGTGAAGCCTGTTTGCCCGCCTCACCGTGGCACCCCTGCGGCACCCTTGGAAGGATCTCAAGGCACCTGCTGTGGCACCCTGGTTGCGAATCCCTGGCCTGAGCTCAGCAGGGGTCTGAGTGGGTGTCACTGCAGGGCTGAGTCCTGGTAACAGCATCACTAGTTTTCGGACACGATGGAGGCAGGGGGCAGATCCGCACCTCCTATGAATCAGCACTGCTGCCTGGACTTCCATGGAGCGTATTGGTTTACACCAGTGGAGACCTGGCCTGGCACTGGCCTATTCACTGCTTCCTTTTAACCTGCAGCCCATTTTGTTCATCCGATCATTTCTGGTTCGCTGCAGCAAGCCTCCCTTGTCAGTCAGCTGTCTCAATGGGGAAGGCTTTTTTCCTCTCTGCTCATACGCTCTTCACAGTGAAACCAGCCACGGGACTGACCAGTCGGCTGCTTAACAGCGCGTCACAGCATTGTGACTCTCTCCTGGGCACTGATAAGGGCACTGTGGTGTGACCCCTCGTGACACGAGGTTGTGTAGGCTCTGATACCGCAAAATCAGCAAAGCACACACTTAAGTGAACCTCTGCGCCACGGCCTTAATGAGGGACATCTCTCCAGCTGGTGTTGCTGCGAATGGCAGAAGCTGCTCTCCCTCCCCGTATTCTTAGCTCAGGCATGTTTCGTTTTCCCAAAAAGAGAAGAGCTGGCGGGTATTTGTGCTTCTGGTACAAGATGTGTCTAACAGGGGAGACGCTGCCTGGGAGTGGAACAGATGGGCTGCGAAACAAGGGGAAGGTGGTGCCAGCCTCCTCCTTGCTGCTGCACTTTGTGGGTATGCTGGCATGGCAGGGACACATCCTTCCTGCCTGGGAAGTGTCATTCGGACCCAACCCTGCCCCTTGGGTGAGCAGTGAGCAGGCACAGGGCTCGTTGTGTGTCTGTCTGATGTTTTGACAAAGAAGGTATTTTGAGTTATCGAACCTGGATCCTGCAAGCCTTTTGTCACTCGAGTAAGCCTTGCTGTCTCCAAGAGGCAAACTGGCCCGGCGGTTGAGGTCGGACACTTCCCCTGAGGCCTCCACAAGACATGAGCAATGGGACTCGATCCTGAAAACTGCTGAATAATTCTCATTGTCTTCAAGGGTTTCACTGACTTGCAAGAGCCCTTCGCATCTGCAGTGAAGGAAGAGAAGTAGTGGATGTCAGGCTGGTTTTGTGCTGCAGATATTGTGCAAAGCTCTGGCTTTGGCTCCTGAGTGGCG